GGGATGTTTCGTATCTTTCATTTTTGTTGTTTCTCGTCTGGCTGTTCCGAATCCAGTCATACCCTACAGTTAACAGGTGATAATCCAACACTGTGGATAAACAGCTGTAAATACATATGGCAGCGGCATATCCACAGAAAAAGATTCTCTTTTGTGCCTAGTTATTACTAGTGCAAGGGCAAAGAGCCTGGCATAGCTGCGCACGTAAAATCAATAAAACGGCATAACGCAACGCACACTGACTGCTCAAGCGGCCTTGGTATTTTTGGTACCACTAATCAACAAAGAGGCAATGCATTCATTCAAAATACCTCAAAAATTGTGCTTCTTGACAGAATTTTCGAAACAATTTCTTTTCAAAAAAACTCTGATTGTGTTCCGCCTTGACCACTGGCTTATGAGAAAAATGTTGCATACTTTTTGCGAATCGTATTTGTTGGTACCAGCTTGCAAGCGTACAATGCCATCACTGAGGCGGATCTTCTCTTCTTCCAGTGGCTGAAAATTATATGCCAAATACGCACAAAGTTCACTGAACAAATAAATTCCTTAAGTAATGATATTATTAGAAAAGCAATTAATCCGTCTAACTACCGGCAAAATTTTCAGGTGCTTTGACCAATGCTGCTTCACCTGATGATTAGCCTGCTGACAACCCTAACATCCGTTTCGTCTCTTGAAGGGATTATTGGTTCAACGATCGTCTCTTGAAGGGATTATTGGTTCAACGATTCCCCCAATCGAAGCAATGGTAAGGCTTTAATCGATTCGACACATCTCTGGTGTGTGTTCAGTATTATACGGTGAATTACAGTTTACCCAAGATGACTAATAAGTAAGTAGCATAAAAAATAGCAAGTAAATTAGTAATAAATTGTTAAAAAATGTAGATAGCTAAAAACGGACGAAGAAATTCACATATAAAAACATAAAAATTATCATATTGAGAATTGTTTTAAAAATAACTTTACCAAATCATCAACTTAGTCATGAAGCAAAAAGGGGGGACGAGGTAACGAAATAATCTTTCAAACATGAACACGGTGCTGCAATGCCAAAGAAAAAAACCATAAAACCGGCTAACGCACGGGCAGATCGGATGGTGCCTGATTGACGTGAATTCCCTCTCGGCAAACATCGCGGCCAGTACCAAAGCCAGTCATGCCACGCTGTGATTCGAATTTGTTTGTGCCCGACTGTAAACGCACCTCGCCATGCGATTTCAACAATATTTCCTCAGGAACTTCCTGAAAAGCACCATCGGGTTCATTAAAACTATCTGAGTGAAACCTTCAGCGTTAACGAAGTGAGTCACATCCTTTTTTAAGGTTTTTTTAATTATTGAAAAAATTATTTTCATCTGACCATTCAATCAATTAACCAAAAAATTTTGAATTCTTTAAAATCATTGTGCTCTCTAATTTTTTTTTTTTTTTTACAGTAGTCTTGGGCATTGTATTTACCTTGCCAAAAATCGATGGACATCGCCCATTAATGGGGGTGTCCGCCAAAAAGTAAGCAACACTCGAGTGACCCCCGAAGATGTAACGAGCGTGCATCGAACAGGCGGTGCAGCCCAAGAGTGAGGGCCTGAAGTGACTGCTCCTGACATGTAGGAACATCTCAGTGACACCATTAACATGTAATACTCACACTGGCTACTGAGGCAGTCCTGGTAATTTCGGTGATAAAAGTAATTCAAAAGTAAAAGATCACTAAAAATTTCCAAGTGGCAATACAGTCCAAGAGCGACCAATGCTGGCAAGATTGCCAGCCGCTTCTTCTTTCGG